CAAGGGCACAGAAGAGAAGAAGACAGGAATAAGCCTGTCCCTGTTCCCTGGGGCTTATTTCAAGGCAGCCTGTGGCAAAGAAGACACGTAGACCAAAGGACGGGAGGTCTCATGGCCTTGGCCAGCCACGGCGCACGCACAGAAACCACGTGCAGGGACGAGGCCTCCCCTGCACAGGACGTGAGGATTTCTGGAGCCGGAACAACTCATTTTTGGATGTAAATCAGTCCCTGTGGCTCAACAAGCAAAGAGTATTGACCGAGAGCAGAATGAGCATGTGCTAAGGGTCATGGGACCAACAGATTTGCTCAGGGACAAAAGACAAGCAGAACTAAAGCTTTGTGGAGCAGCGGAAGCCATGGTGTTACGAGGCACTAAGTCAGGTGGGATAGACAGCAAACCCGGAGGAGACAGATGCGAGAGGGATAAGGCAGAACATCAAGGATCGGTCGCATCTGGCCACTGGCAGGGAGCTGGGAAACAGCTCAGGATATTTGCAGACAAGCGTGGGCCAGGGTTTAAGGGAGTGCAGGTCGAGGAGAGAGACGAAGGAGGGCCCGGAAAATTAGGCAGAAAGTTGAGGCTTCGCAATGTGGCAAATGGCCACGGGTCTTTAGACGTGTGAGTCCACCTGTGCTGTGGGGAACAGATCGTCCTCTGACCGAGGGGCGCCCCTGCGAAAGCAAGTAACACTTCTGTCCCAGATCTCGGTGGGTTCCTCAATGCCTTCTAAGGTTTCCGTGGTAGTTAATCAGGCAACAAGCAGAGCTACGGGAGGAAGTTTGGGTTTTGGACTTGGAAAGTTTGAGATGCCTATTTAGACGTGCGTCTGAGTGGAGAGATAAGGTGGGCAGTGGGGTATAGTCTAGAGAAGAGGGAGATACAACCAAGGGCTCATGGGTGCACGGACAGTAGTTACATGGCACTTAGTGCATCAAGGGACCTGATCAGCCTGCCCTGCTCCAGTCCCACTGGTTAGCGGCCGACTGGAACCGGGAAGTATTCCTGTCCCCTTACTCAAAATCCGTCTCCAAGCACGGAGAAGCCCCAAGCCCATGGGTCATATTTTTGTCACTTGGATATCTTGCCAAAATGTCTCATTCAAATAATGAAAAGACCATATCAAAATTTGGCGTGCATCGGAAGTCATGTTCCAAGAAAAGCGTGTAACTTTGAACGCTTACCTTGGGCAAGAGGAGTGGCCAAAACATGGGCGATCTAAGTGGACGTCAGTAAGAAAGACAGATGACCCAACAGAAACATCGGGAAAAGTCTCCATCAGGCACTTGACAAAGGAGATCCCGAGATGACCGACGCACATACAAAGAGATGCCCACCCTCATTAGCCGCAGGAAAAAGGTAAATTATCACTACCATTAGACACGTGTATACACCTATCAGATGGCAAAAAGTAAAAGGCAAATCACACCCAACTGCGTGAACAACGCACACTGCTGTTAGGAGGGTAAGTCTGTGCAACCTTTTGGAAAACCGTTTAAAACCATCTACCAAAGCAACCATATATTTCCACCCCCCAAAATGCCACTTCTGGATATATACTCAACAGAAATGCCCACGGACATACACCAAAAACAGGCATTACGACGTCCATAGTGGCATTATTATGACAACCCTGAAACAGAAACAGCCCAAATGTCAACAGAAGGACGGACGAGTCTCTTGGGAGGCATTCATTCGACACATACAGCTCTGAAAAGGAGCCAGAACCACATGCAAAACACAGACATCTCCCAAAATCAGAGTGAACAGCAAAAGCCAGATGCAAAAGGGCACATGCTTCTGATTCTAACACACAAAACCAGACAAACGGAAAGACCGAGCGAAACTGTAGCTCCTACAGATGGGCGCTGCAGCACGGAGCTGCAGGTCTACAAGCTGTTTCCAGCCCACCAAGGTCAAGGAGATTGCACCGGGGTGTCACTAAATGCGTGGCTTAGTTCAGCTGCCTTTTTTTTTTTTTTTTTTTTTTTTTTTGGTAGAAAGACGTCCAGCTGAGGAGGCAGGGCCTTGACTTCAGGCTGACTTCAGCCAGCTCCACAACAGCCCGGCTGTGCATCTCCTAGGCTCACCGGGGTTCGCGTGTAGCCAAGCAGACAGCTCCCGGCTCAAGCTGCTGGGATTTCCCGAGGATTTGCTTTTCCTCCAAAAGGTGCAGCCACCGTGCAGGGCAGTTAATGCCCCCAAGCGGAGCATCCCGCAAACAGGGGGGGCAGGGAATGGGTAAATAAATGTCCCAGCTCTCATCCTCCAGGAGGACGATCACAGGGCTTCCCAGAGGCCCCAACGGGACTGAGCCCCAGTTGCCTACGTCGGTGACCTCCCCAGTCATTCACATCTTTGGTATTAGTTTTTCTCCCCCTCTCATCTCGTTCCTGCTTGCTGGGACCACCTCCCCAATAGACTACCGGCTTTGGGGGAACAAAAAATGACTCGTGTAGATGTTACAGCTACAGAAATAAGCCAGAAAGCAATGAACGCAGAAGTCAAAATGGGGGCGCCTGGGTGGCTCAGTTGGTAAGCGTCCGACTCTTGATTTCAGCACAGGTCATGATCTCACGGTCCGTGAGTTCAAGCCCTGTGTTGGGCTCTGTGCTGATAACAAGGAGCCTGCTTGGGATTCTCTCTCTCCCTCTCTCTCCCTCTCTCCTCCCTGCCTGTGTTCTCTCTCTCTCTCTCTCTCTCTCTCGCTCTCTCAAAATAAATAGATAAAAAAAATGTTGAAATGGTGATTATCTCTTGGCAGGAGTTCAGAGGAGAAGGGGGCAGTGACACAGAAGGCAGGAGAAGGATTTCTGGCAAAGAGCCTGCTCTAGACCTGCCTATGGTTACATGTGTGTGATAAATCACTGAGCTGTTCATTTTGTTTCATGCACTTTTCTGCATTAGATTTTATGATATAGAAGTTTACTAGTTCATGGGCATTCTTGAAATAAAAGGTTAAAATAATCTGAAATTTTGGGGGGCGCCTGGGTGGCTCAGTCGGTTGGGATTTCGACTTCGGCTCAGGTCATGATCTCATAGTCTGTGGGTTCGAGCCCCGCATAGGGCTCTGTGCTGATGGCTCGGAGCCTGGAACCTGCTTCACATTCTGTCTCCCTCTCTCTCGGCCCCTCTCCTGCTCACACTCTGTCTCTCTCTCTCAAAAAAAATAAACAAATAAAATAAAATAAATTAATTAATTAAATAATTTGAAATGTTTATGTTTTACATATATTCGTTGTAGATACAGTGGTTACATGTCAGAAATTTCTATTCAGCAGACTGTATTTAACTATTCAGGACTGTAATAAATTGGACAACTAGACAAAGTGATAAAACACAAAAACCACTGGAACTTAAAAAATCCCAGAGATGTACTATCCAGAAGTTTCTTCCCTCAAGAACCATCCAGAGGTCGGCTGGGACTTCTCGATGAATGCTGGGCTCACTCTTCTCTCAGGGAAACAGCAAATCAAAGCTGAGCCTGGCAGAGGAAGTTTCCCAGGCACCAGCAAGCGGCTGGAGGCTGGGGGTCCGGATCACTGGGCAGTCTCACCGGCGGGGCCTCGGGCTCCCAGGGTGGCCTCTTCCGCCAGGTTCCAGGAGCTGTCCCGGCAGCGCTGTGGATGGAGCCTATTAAAAATACACGTACCAAAATGCAGGATGCCAAATATTGCCTGGGACGTGTTTATATGTAAAAATTACGTTTATCTGAAATTCGAATTTAACCGGGCATCCTGCATTTGCCCTGTGTCCAGATGAGCCTCTGATCCCGGCTCACAGACAAGGAGTCCACAGCCACCCCGGTCCCACTGCCTTGCCGGGTCCAACACCCTCCACTCTAGCACTGCCTGGTATCCAGACCCCGGGTTCTTGCTCTGGTTGAGCTGGGCCTCCAACTATAATCCTGTAGTCCCATCGCTGCACTTTGGACGGTCCCACGGGCAGGGTCCGGTTCTACAGGCTCTACAAGGAGGGCATATGTTTACACATAAGAATTCATTTTCCTCCAGAAACAGTATAATCAAGTGCCCAAGCCAGCCAGTAACAATCTGGTTCTCTCCCCACACCTTTTTTTTTTCTTTCTTTTTTTGAGAGAGTGTTTGCCAGTGGGGGAGAGGGGCAGAAAGGAGAGGGAGAGAGAGAATCCCAGGCCGACTCTATGCCCAGCACGGAGCCTGACGCAGGGCTCGATCCCACCGTGGTGAGATCATGACCTCAGCCAAGAGTTGGATGCTCAACCGAGCCTCCCAGGAGCCCCCCCCACATCAATCTGTTTTAGCCCATAATATACCCTTGTGGACACAGGTTCAACAACACAACTTCAATCGATCCCGTTGTACGTAGCTCAAATGAAGACGTTTGCAAGCCTGTGTGTGGCCTTCTGCCAGTCGTTTGGGGACAGGACAACAAGGCATTGAGTTGTCCCGTACTCCTAGCGTTTGCTACGCCGTGTAATTAGAGGACCGTAATTTTGTGACTTTTTCTTTACGGAAACCTACGTGCTAGGTTCAAATGCAGAGTCTCGGGGTGGCTGCTGGTCCCCCAGCCAGAGGAGCTCCAGCAATTGGAATCGCGTGCGCACGTTCACGCACCGGTGTGCTTATCAGCGTGCACTGAGTGTGCCCGCACGCAAATTGTGTAGGCGTGTGTGCAGGCAAGTGTGTGCCTACATGTGTATGTGTGTGCGTGTGGGTGAGCGTAGGGCACGGCGGGTCAGTAGCAGCTTCCCTGAAGAGCGAAAACCGATATTGACCGGAGGACACGAATCCCAAGTTACGGACACAGAATTTAAGAGCAGACACCTTCCTCTCCAACGTTCCTGTAAGCACACACTTTCACGCATGTGTGCGAGCGCACGCACGCCCGAGGCTCTGAAACTACCTAGATCTTTTGAACTGGGAGCCAGAGAGAAGCTCTCCTGGCAAGCCGTTTGTGGGTGGGCAGGGGTGGGGTGGGGGGGTGGTCAGAGAGGATGGACGCCGCAGCCCTGGGGGACAGGGAAGGGGGAAGGAGCCGGGCTGGTTTTGTGGACTCCCTGCCTCCCGTCCCTGTGCCGGTGGAAGGCAGGTGCCCAACAAAACAGTCACTGGGAACCCACACGAATGCCCCTAACCAAGACTGCAAACTGCATCCGGGGCCCTTCTGTTGCGGCCGGAGGCACACGGTGGGCCTGGGATCACCCGGTCCGGGGTTCCAGTCCCTGCTCCCACCCTGACTGTGGCGAGGCCTTCTCAGGGAGCCTCGGGTTTCCGGATCAAAAAACCACACGGTGGCTACCATACCCGTTTCATAAAGGTAGGATGTGAGTAAAAGAGGTTTAAAGTACCCAAAAGCCTTAACGCAGGGCCCGGCACGAGATCTGGTGTGAAAAACGATGTTATTCACCAAAACCCGCGTGGCGGTGCGCTTTGCAGCAAAAACGCGTTCACAAAGTAAAAAGAACAATCCGGTCTTGGAACCGTGAATCCTTGCAGCGTCAGAAAATGCTGGAAAAGGACCATCTCTTCGTCCCTTTTGTGCCAGAAAAGCGCCGGATTTATACCGGGGTCCCCGTTCCGGGCGCTCCTGGCGGTGGCTGAGTCTCCAAGGTGGGGCTCTTCCACCGCCTGGTGGACCCCCCGGGCATGGCAGGTGAGCCGCGGGTCCCGCAGCCACCTGAGGTCGGCTCACCAGCCTCCTCTACTGGCTGAACGGTAGGGCTGCACAGTTGTTCACACCCCTGTCAGGAGGGCAGAGGAACCCGCGTTCACTGATTTATGTTACTGATGGGGGGGGGGGGGGCTTTTTCAAGAGCCGTCACCCACCGGTCGTGCGCCTTGGAGGGTTGGGAGTGACAGGCAGGCACGAACTTGGTCAGACCTGGTCTAACGTTGAATCCAGTGGGCTCGTTGGAACAGTCCCCTTTGGGTCTGACTTGGTTGGTCTTTTTAGGATACCGACAGCCTTGTCGGGTCCGTCCTAATCCCGAATCCCGTCTAGGATGCTGCTGGGGTAGGGGCGGGGCGCACGTGACCTCCTGGGCTGGTGGGCGGGGCTCGCGGCCACTGGCCCTCACCCCTGTGCACTCCAGGGACCCCGGATTTCCCTGGCAGTCCGGGGGGGGGGGGGGGGGGGGGGGGTCCTGCTTGGCAGTCCCCCCACTTCCTACCCCACCCCAGCCAGGCTGTGGCCACCACGTCGCTGTGGGGCAGCTCAGCCTAGAACAAGCTCCTCCCGGGACGGGGTAGGATCCAGGCTTTACCCTCGGGGTCCCCTAGACACAAGGCCTCCTGGCTCTGCCCAGGGACCAGGGGGTGGGCTTCTGCGCTTCCTCCAACCACCCCCCTCCCGCCCCCCTCTCCTGCCTCTCTGGCCTCCCGTCTTGACCTCCTGACAAGAGGGGGCTTCTCATCCACGCAAGGGGAGAAACACCACAGTTCAGTCTGGCCCTTGGAGGGGTAAGGAAGGAGGGTTCTAATCTTGGAAGGTTCTAACTTTGGAAGGTTAAAAATGGTCAAAGGGATCTTCTTAAAGTCTTTTCTCCCCTCCACAATGCCTAGATTCCAAGCCTTTTCGCTTGCCGCAAAATCCCTATTTTGAACCTCAGAAACGAGCCATCAACTTTCGTTCTCCTAGCGGCGCCGCCCTCCCCCTCCTCCCTTCTCTCTCCTCCCGCCTCCTCCCCTCTCCCCCACCCTCCTCCAGCTGATAAAAGGCCAGAAAAGCAGCTGCCTGCCAGCTTCCCCCCACACCCACTTCCTCCCCACCCCGGCAGGGGCCACGCATCCTGGCCTCCCGCGCTGGTGGGTGTGTCCCATCACTGACTGAGTGGCTGACAACGGCATGTGAATGGAATGTGGCCCTCTTGCAAGCCTGTCTCGGGCAGAGCCAAGATGGAAGGAGCCTGGGTCCCTGAATGACGGTGTGGACGTCCCCCACCCATCAGGAACACCCCTGTGGCCTTCACATGAGCCCCACCTAAGCGTCTGTCGGGCAAAGCCCCTGAGACGTTGAGGTTTGTCAGTCGCAGCTGTGAGCTTTCTGCTAATGAGAGAGCGGGTCATTTGGGTGTAAATGCAAGCTAGCAAAACACGGTGGTGTTTTTCCAAACCATTACTCCCACTTAGAGGGGGAAAAAAAGGTAGAGCCAGTTATGGTCCACGGCTGGTAGGCAGGTGACTCTCCAAGGACCCGTCTCTGAGCTCCAGACCCCCTACCTCTAGCGGCTTGGATGCCTCCCACTCATTCTGTCCCAAAGCCAACCCGCGACTCTCACCCCACCCGCCAACCTGCAGTTGGTCCAGAGGCTTGAGCCGGAAACTTCCCGGCACCTCCCTCCCTCCTTCCCGCACTCCCTCCCCTCAATCTATCAGTCTGCCCGTTGTTTTACCTCCCAAGTGCCCAACCAACCCACACCTCGGTCCCTCTGCCGTCAACCCCATCCTCTGCCACCTGGACCATTCTAGAACCTCCCCCCTGGTCTCCGGGTCCCCTCTGACCCACTTTCCAATCCGAGCTCTATGATCTTCGCAAAATATGAGCACGGTTGAGGCCATCCGCTTCCCTGCATCAAACACTTCTAAGCTTCTCCTTGTTCTTAACATATGACGGCAGCCCAGGGGGCCCGCAGGCTGGGCCCAGTCTGCCTCTCCAGCCCCCATCAACCCTGGCCTCTGCGTTCCAGCCCCGCCGGTTCCTTCAGTCACCATGCCCTCTCCTGTCACAAGAGCTCAGCACAGGCTGACCCCTCTGCCTGGAACACACTGCCCTCTTTACTCGGCTTTCACGTGCGTCCCAAGTGTCACTTGTCCTCAAGGAAGACCCGAGCCTCCCAATGAGGTCAAATTCTCCCTATTAAAAACTTTCATAGGGCCACATGCTTCCCCTTGTAGTATTTTCTGTGGTTATAATTTCACTACAGGCTGTGTAATTATTTGCTCTATCATTATTTGACTCAGCCTACCTCGCTTCTACCCCAGGCCCTTTGCACCCGCTCTTTCCTCTGCCTGGCATGACCTTCTCCCCAGATGCCAGCATTAATATCCCCTTTGCTTCCTCCTGGTCTCCCCTCAAATGTCACTTTCTAGGTAAGGACTCATGAACAACCTTATATAAAACCCCAGCGCTATCAATCATAGCCAAATTATGGAAAGAGCCCAAATGTCCATCAGCTGACGAGTGGATAAAGAAGATGTGGTATAAAGGGGCACCTGGGTGGCTTAGTCGGTTAAGCGTCTGACTTCGGCTCAGGTCATGATCTCACGGTTTGTGAGTTCGGGCCCTGCATCAGGTTCTGTGCTGAGAGCTCAGAGCCTGGAACCTGCTTCGGATTCTGGGTCCCCCTCTCTCGCTGCCCCTACCCCGCTCATGATCTGTCTCTCTTTGCCTCTCAAAAATAAACGTTAAAAATTTTTTTAAAAAAAGATGATATATATATATATTTTATATATATATATATTATATATATATATATATAATATATATATAGTGGAATACTACTCGGCGATGAAAAAAATGTTGCCACTTGCAACGATGTGGATGGAACTGGAGGGTATCATGCTAAGCAAAAAAAGTGAGTCACAGAAAGATATCATATATTTTCACTCATATGTGGAATTTGAGAAACTTAACGGAAGACCATGGAGGAAAGGAAAGGGGGGGGCGGGGGGAGACAGTTACAAACAGAGGGGGAGGCAAACCATAAGAGACTCTTTAAGGGGCGCCTGGGTGGCGCAGTCGGTTAAGCGTCCGACTTCAGCCAGGTCACGATCTCGCGGTCCGGGAGTTCGAGCCCCGCGTCGGGCTCTGGGCTGATGGCTCGGAGCCTGGAGCCTGTTTCCGATTCTGTGTCTCCCTCTCTCTCTGCCCCTCCCCCGTTCATGCTCTGTCTCTCTCTGTCCCAAAAATAAATAAACGTTGAAAAAAAAAATTTAAAAAAAAATAAAAATAAAAAAAAATAAAAAATAAAAAAAAAAGAGACTCTTTAATACAGAGAGCAAACTGAGGGTTGATGGGGGGGCGGGGTTTGGGGGGGGGAATTGGGGGAAGAGCACTGAGGAGGGTACTTGCTGGGATGAGCACTGGGTGTTGTATGTCAGCAGTGAGTCGGGAGAGTCTACTCCGAAGCCAGGAGCACACTGTATACCCTGCATGTTAGCTAACTTGACGGCCAATTATATTTAAAACTTAAAACAAAAGCAAACCGCAACAGGGCCCCCTCCCCAGCCCCCCAGTCCCCGCTCCTTCTCTGGGGAGCAACCATCTTCTGGCACATCACGGACGTGTGATATTTGTCTTGACTGATGTGGCTCTCCCTGTCTACGATGTTGCGCCACAGGGGCAGGAACTTTGGTCTGTTTTGGCCATTGCTATGACCCCAGTCCCTAGAACAGCGACGCGGAGAAGGCCCTGGTACAAGTTAAGGGCCTAGGGGAATGCAGTACAGAAGTTGTAGGCGGGACCGACTTACCCGTTCTGTGCAGTGGGCACAGTGCCTGGAGCACCCGGTGGTTTCAAGGATCAGCCAACATGAGTGTGTGTTTTATAAAATAATAATGAGTAACAGTAATGATAATAAAAAGGAGACCTCGTGGGCCTAGGAAGATATTGCAGCACATCGTGTTAACATCTCCGTCTTCCACCAACCCGTTCCTAAACTGAAATCGTACTCTCCCGCGTGGAGGGCCCGGGGCTTTCCGGGCGGCGGGAGGGGTGCGGGCCGAGGCGGGGCGGTGCCGCTTTAAGGATGCGCTGCGGGTACCGGGGCCGCGGGCGGCGCGGGATGCAGGGTGACGTCACGGCCCCGCCCCGCGGGGTGATGCTGCAGCCGCAGCGGCGGGCCGGGGGCTGCCGGGCGGGGACCCGAGCTGCGCGCGGGCCAGGCGGGAGCCCGGCCTCGGAAGGGGATGCCTCCTGTCTCGAGCCGCAGGTACCCCCATCTCCTCCCGCGCCCCCCCCCCCCTCCCGCACAGCTGCCAGGCTTTGCGCCGGAGCAACGCGGCGTAGGCCACCCCCTCCCCCCCCCCCCGACCCCCGGGTAGTCACAGTGCCACGACTGGGGCTGGAGGTTGGCACGGAGACCTTTGTTCTTCCTTGATGCCTAATTGATTGACCTGTAAAGGGAGCCCCGGCCTCGCCCCCCCGCCCTGGGTGCGGAACCCTGGGCCCAGAGGAGGGCGGCCGCCGGGTGACAGGATTGATTCCACCCTGGCACACACTGGGACCTGCCCCAGGCTTGCGCGGTGCCTATTGGTGCCGGAGGCCTGATCCCGGGTCACCTGGGCAGGTGTCATCAGCTTCCGGTTTGCCTCCCGCCTGAGGCTGAACCCTCCTGCTGGCAGGGGGTTGTGGTAGGACCTCTGTCAGCATCCCAGGATTGAGTTTATGATGAGTTTACGGCCCAGGGTTTCTGCTTTCTTGCCACGGTTGAAGCAGGAGGCTTACAGTGATTCAGTTCATTCCAACCTCATCAATAAACTTCTCGGGTTATTTCTGGGGTTACCACAATGTTTATGTTTTTCAGCCTTTATAGGGAAGGAGAATCAGGTGCTAACGAAACCCAAGTTCGGTGTGCACCTGACCAGGGGTTTCTGGATCAGGTGGTTGTCAGGGAAGGACCGAATTCCAGAGAGCAAAAGTGAGGAATGGCCGCAATTCAGTAACCAGCTCGTGAAATACACCCCCTCGGTCCCCGCAGCCCTTTGCTGGCCTGGGGATGGTTCCTTCAAGTATTAACTTTGAGCACCGGCGGAAGGGAGAGCGGGGAAGGGATGTGGCCCCGTGTGACCCCAGGCGGGAAACCTGTGTCATATAAAGAAGAGGAGAAAGAAATGAGGAAATCATTTGGCTCATAGTAGGGTAACTTTCAGCATTCAAATGGCATGGGCATTGTTTATGTTTATGAATCATTTGCCACTTAATCTTCCCATTCCACAGTTTGAGGGATTCATTACTTGAAACATCCTTTGTATTCTAGAAGCACAGTGGGCCCAGCATATAACTTTTGTGGGTCCAGGGAGATGATATAGATATAGATATAGACAGAGATACAGATAGAGATATAGACATAGACATACAGATATAAGTATAGACATATCGATTTTTTTTGGACTGAATGCTCATATAATGTGATCAACATGGCAAGATTGGAAATATTGGTATTCATGTATCAGAATTCTATTTCATTATTTTAAATTTCACTTTCATTTCTCATAACATTCAAAAATTAATTTCAAACATTCTTCTTAGAATGAACTTTCGTGGACAGCATTTAGTAAATGTATTTTTGAAAAGAAAATAGTAACGTTGGCCCCAAAATTTGAAAATCAGGGAAGACTTCTTCAAGTCCAGGTTTCATTTCTGGTTTAGATGCCGGGGGGTGGGCGGTAAGGCAGGGGTGTTAGGGTCTCCCTTTCACTAGGACAGGCTGCAGGCTGTGTTTTAAAGCTGGGGGTGGCGGGCAGGTGATGGTGAAGTGGTCACATCACAGGTAGAGACATGGGTTATCCACAGAGTTCATTCTAAGGAAGGTTGAACAGTCTCCGCTTTTCAAAAATATGCTTCTACTATATGCGGTTTGATTCTGAAATTCTTCCAGGGTGGCCCATGGTTCTTCATTCCAAAATGAAAGGCAAGGTTTCTAATGCCCGTGCACTTAAGTTCACTCTATGGGGGTAACATGCTTATAGGAAAGAGCGATGGCGGAGAGGCAGAGAGGGAGTTAGTCACTGCCGTGGATGTGGGGCTATGACCGGGCGGGTGGGGTCAGGTCAAGCTCCCCACACACTTGTGCCAAAGGTCTTCCTTCTGACTTTCAAGGAGATGGTCTGATTAAGTGGTGTTCCAATGGGCTCTTGGTTTCTGTGGTTTTAACGAGAGAGTGACGCTCCGGAGAATGCTAACCGCCACCTGGGTTTTTAAAGGCAAGACTGGCCAAAGGACAGATTTTTCTGGAATATTTACTATGTCCAAGGGCCTGAGCTAGAATAGGAAGAGCACAATCAAGAAGTTTGGCTTTAAAAACAAAAAAAGCTTGACTTAATTGTCACAAGTGGATCGTGTTTTTAATGAAGTACTACCTGCCTACACATAGTTCTTAGGTATATCTGCTTTTGTTTTGGACATAGTGTGGGATTTTTCTGAGGACATAAGATAAGCCACAGAGGCAAGAGTAGACTGGGTCTCTGGGTATATCTGTCCCCGTCATCCCGGTGTGAAATGCATCTCTTAGCAGGGCCACAAGGCCCCGCATCGTCAGCTGATCCCTTCCCAGTGGCCTCATCTCCCACCATGCTGACACGGTGCCCAACTGTTGCACACACTTCTCCTTTACACAGGTGGTTCCCACTGCTTAGAACCCCTTCCCTCCACTTCCCACCCAACTCAGGGGCAGGAACTTTGTCTTTCTTTTGTCTCTCTGATCTCAGTGTCTTGGTACTTAGTACCCAGCCAAATGGGAAGATGGGTAGGTTGGTGAATGAATGGATGGGTAGAAGGGTGAATGAGTAGATGAGTGGGGGATGGGTAGGGATGGATAGATGAATGCATGGATGGATGCTTGGACGGATGGATGGATCAGAGTGGATGTCTGGAAGGGTGGATGCATGCATGCATGCATGTTGGAAAGGTGGGTGCATGGATTAGAAGATCATGGGGTGGATGTGTGGTGTGCATGTGGATGGTTGGGTGGAAAAGTAGGTGGGTGGATGGGTTGGTGGGTTAACACGGTGCTCTGGATCCTGCCAGGGTGTCTCTAAAGAAAATCACTTCCGCTGTTCGTGTCTTCTGAACAGAAGGGAGATAATCCCTGAGCAGGTGGGGTAGGGGGTGGAGTCTAGGATACAAATCTGGAGTGATGAGGCATTTTGAAGAGCTTCATAAGGAAGTTATGGATTAGTGACGGTGTGATGGAAGGCGGTGAGTTAACATCAGAAATAAGGGCCTCATTTTTAAAGCTTAAGAGTAATTTTGAAAGGGGTGCCTGGGTGACTCAGTCAAGTGTCCGACTCTTGATTTTGGCTCAGGTCATGATCTCATTGTTGGTGAGATCGAATCCCGTGTCAGGCTCTGTGATGACAGCCCAGAGTCTGTTTTGGATCCTCTGTCCCTCTCTCTGTGCCCCTCCCTTGCTCATTCTCTCTCTCTCTCTCTCTCTCTCTCTCTCTCTGTCTCTCAAATGAATAAAAACATTTTTTAAAAAGTAATTTTGAAAAAAAAAAGCTTATAATATTTATCTTGGTAAATAACAAGTGTCCTTGGCAGGAAGTTGGTCAATGTTGGGGGGTGTTGTCTTGAGTTTGGGACCTGCTTCTCAGGAAGGACTTCAAAGGAAATGTAGGCAGTTGCTTTTCTGCGAGGCAGATGGGGTGAGCTGTCCCAGAGGCCAGGCGTAATCCTAGAAGGTGCCCCTCTTGTGTTTTTATCTGCCTCTTTCCCTCCGACCTTGGTAGCCTTCCTCTCCCTAGGCTTAGTAAAATCGACGTTGGCCAAAATGCACAGGTCAACATACTGGAATCCATTCTTTCAAGGACAATCTAGATTAATCCCAAAGCAGTGAAGGGCAGTTGCATGACCAGGAGCAGGTGTCCGCGTGGCAGATTGCTACTGACCCCGGGGAGCGGGAAGAAGGCTGCGACCTTGCTAACTTCCTACCTGGGGCTTGGGCGTTGTGAAGATTGCTCCAAAAAGTGATTTGAGGATGGGTGGGGGCGGCGGGGGGTGGGGATCCATTTCTCACCCCCCCGCTTTTTTTTTTTTCCCACACTTTTTTTTTTTTTTTTTTTTTTTTGTAAATGGTATTCCTCTTCAGGGCGTTTGGTTTATTTCTTTAAAGAGAGCATTTTCAAACACGCTAAAAGTCTCCATTCTCCTGACTTGACTACAAATTCACTCACCCATTGGTGCTGTAAGGAAAGGCCTTGAATTAAATTCATGCATCTGCTTTTAGGCAAGGGCCCCAGCCTCCTGGGAAGAGTAGACGTAAGCGTTAGGCAAGGTGACCGCTGCGACTTTCCATCGCACGAAGGAAGGACTGTCCCCTGACCGTGCACTCAGGGTGTGTGTCGGTGGGTCCTGCCCCAAGCCTGTCCCTGCCGCGGGGCTCCCCTGGGACCTGCAGGGAAAGGCAAAAATAGTTCCCAGAATGGGCTGCAGGTCCTAAAATAGCCTGGCTGCTTCCACTCCTCCTTGTGGAGCCAAGGGGGCGGGGTCGGTCCCCTTGAACTTCAGCGCAGGGACCTGAGGGCTGGGGTCCTCCCTCTGGGCAGGGGGACAGCGTCAGCTTTGGTCTCCTGAGCAGGAGCTGCACTGAGTCAAAACTGAGGCCCGGTGACATCACCCACAAGCAGTAGGCTCTACTTTGGGGGGCACAGCATTTGACTCTAAGGGTTCTGCACCGTGAACTCATCCGTTCTCAAATGAGAAGGACGAGCAGGTGCCAGCTTGGGGGGGGGGGGCGGTGGTGGGAGGGATCCACCTGGAAAAATCAACTCTCGTGGTGGAGGCCCTGGTGAGTCACCGTCGCCCCCAAACGGGCTTTCCCCACAGGCACTCGCACCGGCCCCCCCTACGATGATCCCCCCGGCGAGCGGCACCCCTCCGGGAGAGGCTCTGCTCCCCACTTTGGCTCCTCAGGACTTCTGGAGGTCTCAGATCTCCGGCTACACGGGGTCCGTGACCCGGCACATCAGCCACCGAGCCAACAACTTCAAACGACACCCCAAGAGGAGGAAGTACATTCGTCCCTCCCCGCCCCCGCCCCCCAACACCCCATGTCCCATCGAGCTGGTGGACTTTGGGGACCTGCACCCTCAGAGGTCCTTCCGGGAGCTGCTTTTCAATGGCTGTATTCTCTTCGGCATCGAGTTCAGCTATGCCATGGAAACAGCGTATGTGACCCCCGTGCTCCTACAGATGGGCTTGCCCGACCAGCTCTACAGTCTGGTGTGGTTCATCAGCCCCATCCTCGGTGAGCCCCAGCTCAGCCCCGATGGCGGATGGCCTCCGGAAACCTCTGGAAGCTTCCGGAAGGCCGAGTCGAAGCAGCTAGAGGGGCCCCAGGGGCCAAGGGAGGAACGAGAGTTAAGTTCCACTCGTTAGTTTGGGTCTGTGGGAAAACACAGGTATGGTCGTCGTCACACCCCATATTTTAAGGGACTCTGTCGAAACCAGACTACAGAACAGGAATTTCGCAGACCCCGAGGATTCCCACCATCTTACACGGAGCTGTCATTGGAGGATCCAAGCGATAAAGCTTCCTGTGGTTTGGGGCTGGGGGGTCCTGGAATTTCTTGGATTCCCAAGGAAGGTCATGGCTGCTTAGGGCCTTAGGGGGGGCCTGACTAGAAAATGTAGGAGGGGAAGCTGAGCTTTCCCAAGACTCTGTCTTTTGTTTTCCGAGCTTAGGGCTGTGTACTCTGAGTTTTACTGTCTGTTCTTTTGCTGCCCCGGGACGCAGGGGTGCAGGTGTTTGAGGGATGTGATGAGTCTCCCTCACTGTCCAGCCCAGGGTGCCGTGGGGACCCCCGCAATGACCACTGGCCTGCTCTGTTTCAGGATTCCTACTGCAGCCACTGTTGGGTGCTTGGAGTGACCGATGTACCTCAAGGTTTGGAAGGAGACGCCCTTTCATTCTTGTCCTGGCTATAGGTCTGTCGTTTTGGAATTGAAATAAAGTGGAAAAAAAAAAAAAAAGAAAGAAAGAAAAAGGAAAGGAAAAGGAAAAAGGCCCCAACTGCTTCCTCTTAGCAAAACCTAGACCATTGGTGACCGAAGCAGGGATGTACAGATCATTTCTCGGGTGTGGGGGCAGGGCGCACCCCTAGCCTGGCCCGAGGTCACTGTGAGAATACATCACTTTGATTTTTTAAGAGTGAGTTAACGTGTATGTCGTTCCTGCTCTGCTTGACAAAATAAAAAACCCCGACCCAAGCCGAAAAAAAAAGTATATATATATATATGTATATGGTGAGTCTGCGGGTGACTTTTCCGACGGGCTCTGCTTGAAGTTGGATTACAGAGGAATTCTCCGGGGCCCTAAAGATGCTCGACTCGAGCCCCGGGCTGCTCCGCGTTTCCTCCGGTCACGTCGGTTCTCTGTCCGCAGGGGCGCTGCTGGGCCTCTCGCTCCTGCTCAACGGCAGGGACCTGGGCGCGGCGCTGGCCGACTCGGCTGACAACCACAAGTGGGGCCTCCTGCTCACGGTGTGCGGGGTCGTGCTGGTGGACTTCAGTGCGGACTCGGCAGACAACCCCAGCCACGCCTACATGATGGACGTGTGCGGCCCCGCCGACCAGGACCGGGGCCTCAACATCCACGCCCTCCTGGCGGGTAGGTGTCCACAGCGCGGGGGCACGGGGGGCTGAACTCGCACATACAGATGACCACTGAGGTGACTATGTCTCAGAGGCGCCGGGGGGCCCAGTGGGTTACGAGGCCGACTCTTGGTTTCGGCTCCGGTCACGATCTCACGGTTCGTGGGTTCGAATCCGCATCGGGTTCTAAGCTGACAGCACGGAGCCCGCTTGGGATTCCCTCCCTCCTTCTCTCTCTGGCCCTCCCCCACTCCTTCTTTCTCTCTCTCAAAAATAAAATATACTTAAAAAGAAGAAAATATATATCGTAGATGATATATTTTAGTAATAATATATAATGCTGATACATGCGTATATGTGTATGAACTATAGATGTAGCTATAAATGTGTGTGCGTAACTGTGTATATAGCCTCATGTATAGTTTATTCTCATCGTTCGAGTAGTTACGTTCTACAGAGTCGCCAGGAAGCCTGAATTAGCCAATACCGAGTCACTGCCCCAAGGAAAAGTACAGAGTTAGCTCCCTGTGAACCTCTGGTCACATTTTCATCGACCAATCAATACCTAAACTTGTTTTATGTGTTTCTATTTAAATACACCCTTGGAATGTATATTACAGATTCAGTGCCATTGAGCGCATGGCCGACAGCCCTGTAACACGTCCCTGAACAAAGCTCATCTCACATCTTCATAAGATACATCACAGCTTTCTCGAACTTACCAACAAGAGACAGCAGTACATCAACGCTACACGTGGGGGCCATTTTAAATGGTGACGTCTCTCTCTCTCTCTCACACACACACACACACACAACAGAGCAAAAAACCCTGCAAAATCATGGCACCATCTAGACTACAAAAAGGTCGGTTGTTCACACCTGAGGGTTGAAATAAGAAGGCAGAGTTTCGCCTTGTTCAGCCTCAGCTGGGACCTTGGTGGGTCCAGCCACTCAAAGTTGTTGCTTTGAGGGTTATCACCAATGGGCTCAGCGACGGGGAGGGTAAAAACTTCCAGAGAATTCACCGCAGAGCAGTAAGAGAATTCAGGGTGCTCTTTGGTTATCAAACTATCCCATACCAATCAGTACTCCCAGCTTTCTTAGTATAAAACCTGTATCCTGTTACAACATAAAACGGACTAAGACAATCCCACTTAAAATAGAGGTGGAAGGTGTTTGTCAACGTCAAGGGAAAGACGTGACAAGAAGGGGTCGTGCGGGACCCGGACGGAGGGGCGGGAGGCCTGAATCGGTGTCCTCCTGTTTGTTGTGCGACACGGGGGCAGACGGCTCAGGCTGTCCGGGCCTCTGTCGCTTCTTCTAGAAAATGCCACTGCCGGACTCTATTCATACACCCGTGTGGCTGTGGGTCCAGGGAACTTCTGGAGGGGTCTCGGCAGGACCAGTGCGGGGTTTGGGCTTATCTCACTTCCGGTAATGTCCATCCATGTCGTAGCGGGTGTCAGAATTTCCTTCCCGTTTCAGGCTGAATAACATCCCGTTGTGCGTACAGGTCGTATCTCGCTTATCCGCTCACCCGTTGATGGACACAGGGGTAGCTTCCACGTTTCGGCTGCTGTGAATTTTGCTGCCACGAACACGGGTGTGCAGATAACTCTCCAAGACCCTGCTTTCGATTCTTTGGGGGTATGAACCCGGAAGTAGAATTACTGGATCTTACGGTATTTCTCTTTTAAATTTCTTGAGGAACCTCCACACTGTGCCCCGTGGCAGCTGTATCATTTTGCCTCCTACCAGCAAAGCACAAAGGCTCCGATGTCACCACATCTCCCGGCCAGCCCTTGTCATGTTCTGTGTTTTTTCTTTTCTTTTTTTTTTCTGATACGACCCATCCTGATGGGTGCAAAGTGGAATCTTGCTGTGTTTTGATCTGCATTCCCCTAAACGCTCGTGAAGTTGAGCGTCCTTCCATGTGCTTATTGGCCATTTGTATGTCTTCTTTGGAGAAACAGACATTAAATAGACATGCGAGTCCTTTGTCCAGTTTTTTAATAGTTCCTTCTCTGTGTTTCTTTTTTTTTTAATTTCTTTTTAATGTTTATTTATTTTTGAGAGAGACAGAACGTGACTGGGGGAGGCAGAATCAGAAGCAGGCTCCAGGCTCTGAGCTGTCAGTGCATAGCCCGCTTCGGATCCTCTGTCCCTGTCTCTGTCTGCCCCTCCCCTGCTCTCTCTGAAAAATTAATAATTTTTTTTATTTAAAAAAAAATTTTTTTTAACGTTTATTTATGTTTGAGACAGAGACAGAGCATGAACGGGGGAGGGTCAGAGAGAGAGGGAGACACAGAATCGGAAGCAGGCTCCAGGCTCCGCAATAATTTTTTTTTTAAAAAAAGAGTTACTGGGGCGCCTGGGTGGCGCAGTCGGTTAAGCGTCCGACTTCAGCCAGGTCACGATCTCGCGGTCCGTGAGTTCGAGCCCCGCGTCAGGCTCTGGGCTGACGGCTCGGAGCCTGGAGCCTGCTTCCGATTCTGTGTCTCCCTCTCTCTCTGACCCTCCCCCGTTCATGCTCTGTCTCTCTCTGTCCCAAAAATAAATAAACGTTGAAAAAAAAAAAAAAGTTACTATTTAACAGTGGCTGCTTGCCCCCAGAGCGGAGGGCAGCCAGAGAGCCCACACGCTGCGGGGAAGCAGGTTCCTCTTCAGCAGCAGAAGTAAACAGACTCGCCTCCCAACCAGTAGACGGGCTCCAGATAACACACGAGACCCACAGTGTAGCGGCGAAGGGGCCTGGGGTGGGGGGGCGCTGGGACGTGGGGGGAGCTGGGGGGTAGGGGGAGCAGCACTTTTTGGAGGTGAGTATATGTCGTGCCGGGGGCCGGCTGCAACGCGGCATTGCCTGCATTTTAACGTTGTGCTGCACAAATCAGTTTGCCCTTTACCTGTTCCCGGAGGCCTTGGGATACAGCAAGCAGGAGCAGAGGAAAGGACCGGATTCCCGCAGCCCTGTTGTGTCCCGGTGGCCCGCTGACCCGGAGAGCTAGTCACCAGGGTGGCCGTCCTCGGTCACCATTAGGGGTGACTCAATGGTGGCCGTGTATGAGGATGCTGGCATCGGGCGAGCAAGACACAGGGTGGCCACCTGGTCCCCCCTCCCCCGCCACACACACACACACACACACACACACACACACACTTGAGTAAGCAACCTGAGTAAGAACCACGGTCCTTACTCTTCCAGAATGATGGTCTGGAACCGTGACCGTTGAGGGCCTTCCCGGCCCCCGGGACCTAACCCCGCTTCTCTCCGCAGGCCTCGGAGGAGGATTCGGGTACGTGGTCGGGGGCATCCACTGGGACAAAACCAGCTTCGGGAGAGCCCTGGGCGGGCAGCTGAGGGTCATTTACATCTTCACCGCGGTCACCCTGAGCATCACCACCGTCCTCACACTGGTCAGCATCCCCGAGAGACCCCTGCGGCCCCCCGGCGAGAAGAAGGCCACCATGAAGAGCCCCAGCCTCCCCCTACCGCCCTCCCCTCCCATGCTGTGCGAGGAGGGGGCCGGCGAGCCCCTCCCCTGCCACCCGGCCACCAGCCTGTACGCCAGCTTCTCCAGCCCCATCTCCCCGCTCAGCCCCCTGACGCCCAAGTACGGCAGCTTCACCAGCAGGGACGGCTCCCTGACCGGCATCAACGAGTTCGCCTCGTCCTTCGCCACCTCCAACATCGACAGCGTGCTCATCGACTGCTTCACGGGCGGCCACGACAACTACCTGGCCATCCCCAGCAGCGCCCCGCCACAGGCCATTAGCCTCAGCTTCCCCCGGGCCCCCGACGGCTTCTACCGCCGGGACTGCGGCCTCGGGGACAGGCGGGAGGTGGCGCTGGCCGCCGGCCCCGACGGGGACGTGCTGAGGGTGGGCTCCCTGGACGCCCCCAAACCGCGATCGGCCGGGATCCTGAAGAGACCCCAGACCCTGGCCATCCCGGATGCGGCCGGAGGAGGGGGCCCCGAAACCAGCCGGAGGAGGAACGTGACCTTCAGTCAGCAGGTAAAAGTCAGGGTGAGGGGGACCACGGGTCAGCGTGTGTTGTCACTGTGTGTTGTCCACCGCCCCCCAGCCCCCAGTTAGATGGAGAGGGGTTGTCGCTCTGAAAAGACATCCAGAGCCCTTCCTGCTGGGGGGGATCAGAAGGTCTGTGGATCTAAATAGACAAGCCCCACACGTCGGTGAAGAGACCGCCTCCCCCCCCCCCCCCCACGAGGGAGTTCAGGGTGTCTGTCACGGGCCCATCGATGGCTTAATACATGGGCCACCATTAAAGGGACACTCCTTTGAGATGCGGCCACGTTTGCCCGAAGGCCACCCAGGCCAGGACGAGGCTGCAGCGAGCCTGTTGCAAGCATCTGCATTTGCAGCCCCTCCTGCTCCCCGCCCCACACCCACCCCCCACCTTGGCAGCGCAAACCTGCTGCCCGCCAGTCTCCCGCAAAGGTGGACACCGAACGGAAAACCTGGCAGGCGTTTCCGGGCCCTCCCCGCGTCCCTCTCCCGGCGTCCGGCCTCCGCCGGCCGCCCCAGAAGCTCTCAGGACTCTGCATTCTAAAAGGCAGTGCACGGCAGGGTCTGTGCAGGCCGAGAACCTTCCGGAAGGCTGTTTGCGTTGTACTCAGTACACGTCGGATCGGCTGCAGGGCCACCGGCTGATAAGGCGGGATTTTAACCGCCGTCGGACTCCGTTGTCTTGAGGAGGCTGCTTGAAATATCAGGAAGGTATTTCGTCAGTTGCAGGACCCATAATAGTTCCGCGGCCCGCCTGTGCCAAGGGTGAGCGAGAATGTCAGTAAGAACTCGGAGTTTCCCGGGCAGGAGCCCCGTACAACCGTGTTCAGCCCGCACAGGCGCGCGGAGGCGGGCCGTCCTCAAGGCCGGGTGGCTCGGAAGCGTGGCCTGCTGACGTGTCTGCCTGACGGCAGGGCTGCATGTCCCCGTGAAGTGCACCCACACGGGGCTGTCCCCCGGCCAGGCGGCCCCTCTGTGCGCCCGGGAGGACCGACGGACTCCCTGACTCGGGGGCAGGTGGACTGGAGACATGTGTCGAGGCGGCTGTTCCTTTTCTCTTCGTTGTTCTGTCCTCGAGTGCGCCTGTGGGTCTGGTCTGCTTTTCTCCGGGCCGCTGGGGCTTAGTCAGTCTCCGTGGGTCTCCATCGTCTCGTAAGGGCTACCGTCCTCTCGCCCCGAGGCAGGGTGCTGGGCAGGTGCGTGGCCTCCTTGAGGGGAGGTCTCGAGGCTCCCCCGTGGGCAGCACGGAGCACATCTCCAGGGTCCAGATCTGGGAAAGGTTTGAAGAACCCGAAGTCAGGACATCCCCTTATTGTCAGAAGAGAGAGATTTCTCTAATCGCTCAGGTCAAGGGCGTTCTCTTCGTTCAATGATGACATCGGAGCAATCGGTCAGACCTTTCGTCGATCCCGACCAGCCTATGCTGTTCCAAAACAAAAAAATTCAAACCGCCTTCTAGATACAGCTCTTTAGTTATGGTTGAAAATCTCACTTGAGTCCCTTCTATTTCCGTGCTCGGTGTAGTACAATTTGTGAGTCAGCTCTTCGAGGAGAGGAAGAATCCTGAGCTAAATATAAACATGCTCAGCCTCAAGCGGGCACGAGTGTGATGTGAGTGGTCTTCCTCCGGCAGAAACGGGTGACAAGCTCGGTGGGCATGGCTGCCCGGGGGGCCGGTGCCATGGGCTGTTGGCCTCCTCGGCGTCCCCACTTGGAATGTCCGGGAGCTGACCGCAGCACGAGGTCCCGCCCGGAGCCGGGGCGGGGGGGGGGGGGGGGGGGCGTCTCTTCCCGCCCCTCGCTGCTCGCACAACTGTTAGGTCACCCGGCTGGTGTCTACACCAGCGGCCCAGGCAGGGCGACCGTGGCGTTGACACCTTCTCGTCCCAGGAGGACTTCGCAAACCGGATCAGCGAGCGCGTTTGCCGTTTGCCGGGGGGAGCGGTGCTCCCGGGCCCCAGAGAGAAATCTAGACCACCCCCCACCCCGCCCCCCCCCGAGGGCCGAGGTAAGCGTGTCCGCTCCCTGCACCTGCTCACTTGGCCTCCGTGTGGATAGAGAGTTTTAAACAGATTCCCGGTCACGGGGCACGAAGTCTTCTACCCCCCGCTGTTGCGGAAGAGAAGGGACTTCTGTACCATCTGGATTTGAACTGACCCATATTTCTTGTATTTCAAGTGTGTTTCACGTCCCACGAGGTGTTCCCTCGCGCTCCGTGGCACGGATCTCCCGCCCTGGGGCCTAGGCGGGGGCACGCCCGACACGGGGCTCTGTTCCCAGCTGCGCCACGTCCCAGAAGAGATGACCTGACGTGGGCCCTGTCGTTCAGGGCGGCGCTCGGCGCTCGGCTGGCCCCGCCCGGGAAGGCGGACCTTCGTGGCCCCCGCGCGCGTCTCTCGTTCACTTTCTCGTCGCGGCGACATCCGCGCCTCGGCGTGGCAGCCGCGACTTGCTGCTCTGTTGAGGAGGTTTGTGTGGCTTCCTCCACAGGTGGCAAATATTTTACTGAACGGCGTCAAGTACGAGAGCGAGCTGGCGGGCTCCAGCGAGCCGTCGGGGCAGCCTCTGTCCATGAGGCACCTGTGTGTCACCATCTGCAACATGCCCAAGGCGCTTCGCAATCTCTGCGTCAACCACTTCCTGGGTGAGCTCTTGGCAAACCTCCCAGTGCCTCCGTGTCCCCGCCTCGCTCTGCGGCGGGGATGCGGCCCTCTGACCCGGGCCGCTCCCTCCCCCGCCGGCCTCCCAGAGAGCCACGTCCCGGGCTGGGGGGTCATCTCCCATGAGTTCAGGACTCCTGAGACCCCACCAAGGGCAGGACGTGGCGTGGGGCTGCCCGAGAGGGCTTTTCTCCAGGAAGGGCCAGGTAGCCCCGAATCGAGGCGCACCCCTTCCCCCGAGCGGGACGCGGGGTCTCCACGGAGCCCGGATTCTCGTTACCAAAAGCTCCTGGGACAATTCACAGTGAAGTGGAGCCATTGGAGGGACTTGTGTCTTATGCCCGTTTGAGCCTCACTGCTGTCCTGCTCTTAGAGCCGGGATGGACATGTGCACCGACACTCACACGTGCCCGCCTGTGCCCGGCACCGGCCTTGAACCCACCGGCCTTGGCATTCCGATCGCCACGGAAAAAGCCCTGGCTCTCACCTCATTCCATGTGGTACCTCCTTGCTGTAGGGCCGTTGAACCTCTGAGGCTGATTAAGCATTTGAGATGCTCTAGGCTCTCAAACATCGTGGGCCATAAATCAGGATGACTTTCTAGGTGGCAATTTGGCATCAGGCAAGAATCTTTTTTTTTAATGTTTGTTTATTTTTGAGAGAGAGAGACAGAGACAGAACCCAAGTGGGGGAGGGGCAGAGAGAGAGGGAGACACAGAATCCGAAGCAGGCTCCAGGCTCCGAGCTGTCAGCACAGAGCCCGACGCGGGGCTCGAACCTGCAAACCGTGAGATCATGACCTAAGCCGAAGTCGGACGCTTCACCGACTGAGCCACCCAGGCGCCCCGGCAACAGCCAAGAATGTTGAGAATGCCCATAACCTTTATCCCAGTGGCCCTGCTTGGTATCCTTTGCAAGAACATCATCAGAAATTTTATCAAGAATGTATGTTCCAGGGGCACCTGGGTGACGCGGTTGGTTAAGCGTCTGACTCTTGATCTCAGCCCAGGTCTTGATCTCAGGGTTGTGGGTTGGAGCCCTGCGTTGGGCTCCGTGCTGGGCGTGAAGTCTCCTTGAGAAAAAAATAATCTATGTTCCAGGTATTAATTACAGCATGATTTATAATGGTCAGAAGCTGGGAAGAAGGGGCAGGGAGTGCAGGATGTATAAACGAACAACAGGAGAGGAGAGGGGTTAAATGTATTAATGGCGTGTCCGCCTTGTGCAATATTTTGCTGCCATTAATATGGGGCTATTGAAGAATTTTAATAGCATAGGAAGTTGTGCATGATAATTATTGGGGTTCAAGAGGTCCAATAAATGCCACCCCCCCTTGTGCTACTGAAGGTGAAACTGAAGGAGCCCTCAGTCTCCTCGGCGATAGTGGGCCCGTATCGACATTTGCGCTTCCTGACGCGTTTCTCTCAGTGAAATGCCCCCCCTCGCATGCCTGTGGCTGCGGTTCCACAGGCATTTTCTTGTCTCCCTTGCAGAGAGGCGAGTGGGGAACAGGATGAGGCATTTAGAGGGAGTGGGGGACTCACTTTCCTTGTGGCAATAATGTTTAGAGAAAGAACAGACTAGCATCTTTCAAGCAACAGAGCTGTGTTTCTTTTAATAATTAAATTTTTTTTTAATGTTTATTTTTGAGAGAGAGACAGAGAGACAGAGTGTGAGCAGGGGAGGGGCAGAGAGAGGGAGACACAGAATCCTGAGCAGGTTCTAGGCTCCGAGCTGTCAGCACAGAGCCCGACGCGGGGTTCGATCCCATGAACCGCAAGATCATGACCTGAGCCGAAGCCAGACGCTCAACCGACTGAGCCACCCGGGCTCCCCAGAGCTTGTGTTTTTATAAGGATGCGTATTTGCTTTCAAAAAGGCTAGAAGGGAACTTATAAAATCTTAACAGAGGTCAAGTGACCTCTGGGTGGCAAGGCTATAGGTAATTTCTTCTTTAAGTTTCCAAGCGACGAAGGCACTGTGTTCCTTTGACGATCAGTAAAACCCCGTTGGGGAAAGATGGGGCCAGCGTCCGGGCCGGTGGTCACGAGCCCCTCCCTCCTCCCAGGGTGGCTGTCGTTCGAGGGAATGCTGCTGTTCTACACGGACTTCATGGGTGAGGTGGTGTTTCAGGGAGACCCCAAAGCCCCGCACACGTCGGAACAATATCAGAAATACAACAGCGGCGTCACCATGGGCTGCTGGGGGATGTGCATTTACGCCTTCAGCGCCGCCTTCTACTCAGGTACCTGCCGCCCGGTGTGGGGGGGGGAGAAGCGGGGTGGGGGCCCCCCCCCATGGGAGTTCTGGCTTTAGCGGGGTCGTACGCTGAGTGGAGGGAGGGTGGTGCCTTTGCAACGGCAGGCGTGGCTTCCGGGTGTGGGGGACACAGTCGTGGAACAGCTGTCGGGGTTGGCCGGGCGGTGGGGCAGGGCCCGGGTGTCCACCGAGACCCGAGGAAGCCAGCGGGCGGACAGGCCAGGCCCGCAAGCGAGGACAGAGTGGGGGCCAGGCCCCAACATTGACGTCGCCCCCAGACGGGCGTGCTGTCTGCCGCCCCCACCCATCCCACGTGGAGTCTCGGGGCGACTGGTCCAGAGGGAGGGGAGAGGCAGGAGAGAACGGAGGACAGGTGGGGAGAGCCGAGGCCAGAGGCCGAGATGACCCCGAGGCTCGCGTTGGTGGACACAGGGGACGTAGGAAGCCAGGTTGGGTCCCTGCAGGGTGCCGGGTACCATCCCAGCGGGGGGCCTGGGCAAATTCCATCTCAACGTCGGCCCACGTGGGCCCACGTGTTCCGTCAAGGCCCAGATGGTGGGCAAGGTCAGCCTTGTGGGCCACGTGGCCCCTGGGGAGCCCCTGGGCTCCGCCCCTGTGGCTCGGAGCCGCCTCAGACGAGATGTTTCTGTCTCACCAGTGTTCACGGCCGAGATCCGGTAAAACTTCCTTTGCGCTCACGGGAATTGGAATTTCATATGATTTTTACGTGTCACAAAATATCTGTCTCCTTTCGATTGTTTTTAAAACCATTTGCAAATACAAAAACCATTCTTAGCTACAGGCGGTGCCAGGCGGGCCGCCGGCCGGGCTCGTCCCCAGAATGGTTTTACTTCCCCGTCCCGCACCCCGGGCCCCCGTGGGGCTTCGGCCCAAGACCCCTGCCCCTGCAGCAGCGCTGGGGGTCTCGAGACCACCCTGTTGATACCCTGGGCCCCCCACGGGGGCTTTCTGGCCTGGGGCAAGCTGCCTGCCAGCCGGAGGGCCAGCCGGGGGCAGGTGGCCCAGGGAAGCGGAGTCCCTGGGACCACCGGCCGGTGCCCCTGCTCACCCTCCTTTCTGGCCCGCAGCTATTCTCGAGAAGCTAGAAGAATACCTCAGCATCCGCACACTGTACTTCATTGCCTACCTGGCCTTTGGCCTGGGGACCGGGCTCGCCACCCTGTCCAGGAACCTGTACGTGGTCCTGTCGCTCTGCATAACCTACGGGATTTTATTTTCCACCCTGTGCACCCTGCCCTACTCGCTTCTGTGCGATTACTACCAGAACAAAAAGGTAAGTGCTTCCATTTTTCTGCTTCGGGTCCTGAAAGGCCGGCCTGGGCCTGGCCTCCACACCCTCCCCACCCCCCAGCTTCTTGGAGAAACCCCCTGAACACCCCGAGAAATGAGCCTGAGAGCAGCTACACCATGAAAGCGAGGGGCCTGTTCACACGTTGAGAATGTCAAGTGGCCGGCAGCAGAGGGCACAGACCTGAGCGCGTAGCCGCCCCGTTCGTGGCGGTACTTGGGCGGTGTGGAGGGAGGAAGGGGAGGCCCGCCCCTTTGTGTCCTCCAGTGTCAGGCTTCGGGGTCACCCGTTTGCCCGGGGCCTCAGGTGAGGCAAGCAGGGGCTCGCCTTGGACACACAAAACTCAGGGATCAAGGTCAATGAGAGGAGAATGCAGTATTTCAAAAGACGGGAATTGGTGCCAAAACCCTGCACTGAACGCGGTAGCAGGACTTTAAGCAGAGACTGGGTAAGTCGCGGCACCGTGCCGAGCCACGGTGGAGTCTGAGGCAGAAGGATAAAGAAGGAAGCTGAGCCGTGCCTTTGTATAAAATGTTGACGTTGTGTTCAGCGTGGATTTTCCTTTAACAGCCTTACTGAGCTAGAACCCACCACACAATACAGTCCGCCCCTTTCAGGCATACCATGTACCCACGGAGCTGTGCGACTGTCACCACAATCGATTCAGAACATTTTCGTCGCCCCCGAGAGAAACCCCACACCCATTAGCCATCCCCGTTCCTTCCACGGCAACCCCCCCTGCGCCGCCCACAAGTCGACTTTGTGCCCCCTGTGCACTCGCCTGTCCGGGATGTTTCATGTAAACGAAATCGCGCACACGGGGCCTCTGTGTCTGGCTTCTGTCACTCAGCATCAGGTTCTCAAGGTGCGTGGCCTGTCAGTGTGTCCGTCACTCCTTCTTAGGGCCGACAATGCTCCCATCCAAGATTTTTTTGCGGTAACTTCGAGATTTTTAAAATGCTGCATTAAAAGATCACCTTGATACCTGGGTTTCTTCGCACCCCCTTTTCATTCAGGGCCTCTGCCGCCTCCCCCAGGCCCGGCCCAGGAGGCATCCTGAGTTGTTGTAAAGAGTTTGAAGTCTCTGATGAACTCAGTGGGGGCCGGCTCTGAGCACAGTATTTTTTGTGAGAAGTCCAATCGGCCCAGAGACCCAGGCACTACAAGGGGCCAGACCCAGGGCCTCTGGGTGGTAGCCGTGGTGGCCCCTCCCAGCCCCTTCTCCGCCAGCAGCTGGACTCCCAGCTACGCGGACAGGCAGTGGCCCGTCTGCACTCTCCCCCAGGGCAGGGCTGAGGCTGTGACCGCTGGAGAGTGAGCCCCGTGCACGACCCGAACATCCAGCCGGCACCTGCAGAGCCGCCACAGCCGGCGCCAATGGCACCCAAGGGACCAAGAGGGGAGGGAGACCCCCTGACTGGGAAGGCAGATGGGCCGGCGCCAGGCTGCCCCACCCGGCGGCAAGGGATGCCCAGAGCCTCGGGCCACCCTTGCGCTGCTCAAAGCCTTGGGACTCTGGCTCTAGGGTCTCCTAGATGCTCACAGTCCTGTCAGTCTCTGCTCCGTTGCAGGTTCGGGGCTAACCCGTGACCTCCCCACCACGGTGGCCTTGCCAACCGTGTGGAGCCACGGGGAGCCACAGTTTCCCCAGGACACACGAGGGGCCCCTCCACAGCCCCTCGAGGACACAGCCTTGCCCGGGGAGGGGGCTTGGCAATATCCCAGAGGCAACCACGGCCGCATCTGGAGGCGGGCCCGGCATGCTGGCCCCGCCCCCTCCCCCCCCACCGGCGGTGCACACACGGCCGGTCTGTGGGGGGGGGGGGCGTCATCTGCCCTCAGTGGGTGAGGGTGGCCTGTGCTGGGGGAGCAGCGGGGGGACCCACCCTGTCCCCTCCCAGCGTCACCCTTGCAGACCCGCTCAAGGAGCGCGTTTTCCCCGCACCGGGGCAGGGGAGGGGGGGCACGGGTGGGAGGCAGGGAGACGTGCCCACCGTGGAGGCCACGGGGCCTCTAAGTGCCGGGCCAAAGGACCAGGCACGGCGACCGTGAGAGGGTGTTCCCGAGCGTGGCGTAGGCATCGTGGCGGCCAGAGGTTGGGGAGGGGGCCGGGCAAGGACGTGGAGTGCCCGTCTCTCCAGGGAGAGGCCGGGGAAGGCCAGATCCCCAAGCCAGAGGGAGCCTCTGTGCCGCCTGGGCCTGTGGGAACACGGCCCTTCCACTCCTGTTAGTCACGGATTCTTTTCGTTGCCGTCATCTCTCTGAACACAAATATTATTAAACTCTTGGCTGAACTCCCTGCGCACGTCGGCGCTGGAAAATGTGAGCCCGCTGGGTCCCCTGTCCTGCAGGAAACGTGGGGCTGAGGTCCCCTTGCTGTCCAGGTGGCCCGCTGACGTGTTTCTCCTTCTGGATCAGTTTGCAGGGTCCGGTGCGGACGGCACCAGGCGGGGCATGGGCGTGGACATCTCCCTGCTGAGCTGCCAGTACTTCCTGGCCCAGATCCTGGTGTCCCTGGTGCTGGGGCCGCTGACCTCGGCCGTGGGCAGCACCAACGGGGTCATGTATTTCTCTAGCCTGGTGTCCTTCCTGGGCTGCTTGTACTCCTCCCTGTTTGTCATTTACGAAATCCCTCCCAGCGACGCCACCGAGGAGGAGCACCGGCCCCTCCTGCTGAACGTCTGACACCCCCGAGCCCCCGGCTTTGGCCTCAAGCCTGCGCCCGGGGGTCTGGAGCAGTCCGGCCAGTGAGGAACCAAAAGGCCTTGGTGGACGGACGCGGGACAGGTTTCCTGCGGAATGTAAATATGTGACAAAACAATAAATGGCAGCAGGAACGCCTACAGTTTCTAGTTGTGGCTCTCCCAGGGGTGGAGAGGTCGCCCGGGGCGGGGCGGGGCAGGGCGGGGCGGGGGGGGGGGGGGGACGGGCTACTCTCCATGGGGACTCTGGGGGAGGGAGCTGTGAGAGTCGCTCACGGACAGTAAAGGCGTAACTGATTCTCAGCTGGCAGCGGTTTGGCAGGCCCCCCGCCCCCCGAAAACATTGCCTCGAGGTCTTTTTGTTGTCACCGCCCAGGTGGGTGCCACTGTCCAGGGATGCCCCAAACACCCTACGGGGCACAGGACAGCCCCCACAACGAAGACTTTTCCAGCCCCCCCGTGCCAGTAGTGCTGAGGTGCAAAGAGCCTGATCTAACTACGTTGCGTCCCAGAGTGGAGTCGGAGTGGACAGATGCTTTCGGGTCAGAAGGCCTCATGTTCATTCATTCGTTCATTCATTCTCCCACCCACCCGCCCATCCGTCCATCCGTCCACCCTACAGATGCCCATCGAGTGCCCTGGGTGTTCAGGCAGTGGTAGGTGCTGGGGGCCAGCTGTGAGCGAGTCTCCGCCCTCACGGAGCTGATGTGGGAAGAGAAGCAGACCGTACACTGAGGTCTGTGCCCCAGGATCGCGGTGAGTGCTGTGGAGAAGGCAAGCAGGGTAGGAGGGTGGGGCGACGGGGTCGGGGAGCGGGCCGAGCTAGGGAGAGGGGGCCGTTCTCTCTGGCGATGCCGCGGGAGCAGCGCCCCGGAGAAGAGGGGAAGGTATCCGACATCCGAGGTGGGAGCTTGCTTGATGCGTTCGAGGGACCGTAGGCTCCAAAGCGCTCGGGCCGTAAAATGCCGGGTGAGGCGGGAGGCCCGGGAAGGTGCAGTGGCAGACGCCCCTGACTCGACGCATTCACCTGCACCCACCGTCTTCCAGCCGATGGACCTGGACGCATCTGTCTTCTTGTGAGTGTCGAGGTCCTTCGCCACGTGGCTTCCGTCACTCCACCACGCGACGCCCCCAGCTGCGGCCGGGGCCCCTTCCCTTCGCAGCCGGGTGGGCTCTTCTCCCCAGGCCGTGAGCGCTAGCCGCGTGCGCCGGGACGGGGGCGGGGGTCGTGGCCAGTCCCTGTTGTACCGGCCCGCTGCCCCAGAACTGGGCCTGGCCCTCCCCCCGCACCCTCACTGCACGCTCCCTGTGTTTGGGGGACACAGGAGACACGGACCACAAGTCCCCCCCAAAGCAACGGGGTCCTGGGGCCGTCGCCGGCAGCCAAGGAGGGTCTGGGGTTTACTGGCAGCTAACGTGTCCCGTCATCTTTCCGACGAGGCAGGGACAGTAGGCGTGAAACCCCCAGCCTTCTGCGGGCCACCTTCCCCACCTCCCCATGAGGGCCATGGGCTCCCCCAGGCCTCCCTCAGTGCCCTGCCTGCTGCCCCCTGGAGTTGAGGAGGCTCCTCTGGGTCCCAGAAGTCCAGGCCCTTCCTCTCCGTGGCCCCAGTTCTGGCCCAGGATCTCTGCCCGCTTCCTTGTCTCCAGTCTACCCTCCCCGCCCAACCTCCACCCTGTAGCCGGGGGGGCCATAAACACGCCCGAGTGTATCCCTTGCCTCTCTCTGGCTTCCCAGAGCCTCAGCAACCAGCTCTAAACTCCTCATGCCCCACCTGGGCCCTGACCGTCTTCCCAAGCGCATCGCCTCTGTCCGGCTCCAGCCTCCCGTGCTGCGGCCCCAGAACCTCTCCACCACAGGGGTCCTCTGTGCCTGTGCCCACGCTCTCCCCGCAGGTGAAGTCTTTCTACCTCTTTGCTGCCAATCAATTTCTGAGTCGACTTAGCTCCGTCTAAAACGCCACCTCCTCTGTGCAGCCCACCCTGGTTGGAATCAGTGAGTCCTCTCTCTGTGCCTTCATGACATGCCATTTTAGCCTTGGTAGTTACAAGCTAAGTGAGGTAGGTCTCATCCTCCCTGTTCAGTGTGTCGGTGAAGCAGACAGAATTTGGGTAACTTTTCTTTTCTTCTTCTTCTTCGCATTTATTTTTTGAGAGACAGAGCACAAACAGGGGAGGGGCAGAGAGAGAGGGAGAGAGAATCCGAAGCAGGCTCCAGGCTGAGCCGTCAGCACAGAGCCCGACGCAGGGCTCGAACTCACAAACCGTGAGATCGTGACCTGAGCCGAAGCTGGACGCTCAACCGACTGAGCCCCGCTGGCGTCCCTGGGTGACTTTTCTAAGTCACACAATTCCTTTGGGCCTCCTGTTAGTCCCATGCTTTTCCTGAGACTCCAGACTCCTCCTCCCCCACGTTTATATTGCTTACCAGACCTTTAGATTTTTTAAAATAGGTGGTTTCGGTTGGCTGTCCTGTGGTCTGGGCTGGTTTTGTCCCGAATGGTCACATCTGTGAGTGAGAAGCAGAGAGGCTCCCCTCCCACTCCTGGCTGGCCAGGCCTCGGGCCTTCTTCCTAGAACTTTCGAAGTAAACAGAGGTTTGCTCTTACACGTGGGAATCTGCCCCCAGTCCGTGGGCGGCACAGAGCACAGGCCGCCCTGAGGCCAGCACCCGAATCGCTGCCCTTGACCTTGGGGTCTGTTCCCAGCAGATGGCAGTGGGAGCGGCCACAGGATCCAAACCTCGAGGAGGCCCCGGACCCGCTGAGAGCCACGCCCGCTGGGTTTCCACATCTCAGAGAATCGCTCTCTTCGCTTCGAAAAGGAGCCGTGAGGACGGCGAGGACAGTGGCCACTGCTCACGAGTCCCGGAGTCCTGCCCAGGCCGCGTGGCGAGCTCGGCGGCTTCTTCAGTCTTCTGGCTTCATCGCCCCCCCCCCCACCCCCGCTCCCCCAGTCAGGGGCAGGGGCTAGTTCCGCTCCGTCTCGCAGACCGACCTGGACCCCGACACAAGCACACTAACTCCCTGGTCCAGGTCACACAGGGTCCCACCCTGGTACCAGGGGCCTCGGACTCTGGCCTCACGCCGCTTGATGTTTCTGGAGTGAGTGTTGGGCCGCCGCGGTCCCTGCCCCCAGCCTGTCTCGGCCTGGCTGTAAGAGGAAAGGGCGAGGAAGCCTTGGCTCTGTGGGCCGGCGATGAGACGGACCCTGTCCGAGCCGCTGAGGCCCAGGCACTCCTGACTTCGCCGGCAAACCTGAGCCGTCGACTCTCGTCGCTTGCTGCTGCCTGGGAATGAACACACCGCCTCTGCCTGCGGGGCCAGGGGCCAGTCACGAAACCACAGCCTCCCCGTCTGGTGTCTGCCTTCCCAGGCTGCTAGACCCTGGTCTGGGATACGGGGACTGGGTGAGGCAGCAGCCCCGCCACCCATCACACCGGGCCACAAGTCTCGAGGGAACGGAGGTGGCTTCCCTGGAATGTGCCAGAACTGACAAGTGCCAGGCCCCGCGGTGCGGTGAGGCGCTCCACTCCTTCCTGCCCCCTGGTCGTGTTTACGGGGTCTGCAGGTGCGTGCCGTGCCCCCGTCCTGGCTGTGAGGGCGGAGGGCAGCGGAGGACCCTCTTCCTGGAGGACTCGGGAGGAGAGGAGACATCCAGAGATGGGGCACATTTGGGGCACGGGACCCTCGGGGGCAGCGGCAGCTCAGGGGGACTCTTCAGGGGGCTACTGAGGCCACCGTGCCAGAAATCGTCACTGCTGGGGACGTCCCACGGGGTGATCGCCACTCAGCGAGGGTTTACTGAACACCCAGCGTGGGGACTGTGGCTGAGAACAAGAGAAGCGGCCCCTGTCCTCCCATCGTAACATACCATGCTGGCCCTTGGCCCCCAGATCTCGCCCCTGCTCCTGGGACCTCTTCCGGTGACCCTTTGCCCAGAACACCCCGCCCCTTCACCTCTGACCCACCAGCCTGGCTGCCGGACTCCAGGAAACGTCTGTTCTTTTCCAGAATACTCGACGTCATTCCTACACACCTCTCCCCATCATCGCAGGGCCGGGGACCTCGACAGGTCCCTGCAGCCAGAGCGGCAGATGAGCGGCGTCAGGGCTTTACAGACGGCGCCACCTGGCGGTCAGGACCGGGAGTGGTAGCGAGGACCGAGTTTCCAATCTATTCTGTGGCCCTGCCGTGTAGCTGAGCCCGTGCAAAAGAAGGGGAGCAGAGGGGACCTGGGAGTGACATGTGGTGGCCAGGCACGTAGAAGACATCAGCCCTTAAACAGCTTGTCCTCATGAGGTTGAAAGCGTCTTCTAAGACGTGCCTTAAAGTCCCATCTTTAATTAAGTCACTACATTGAGTGTCCACACCCTAGGGGTTCCCCAGAGGCCACCAGCGGATGCCCCCTCCCCAACTGAATCCCAGGGCCGGAGCCGGAGGGGCTGTGATGTCCCAGAGCAGGCACAGCTGGTCAGGGGGAGGCGGGGTTGAGAGCGGCTTGAGGGAGAAAGGGGGCCACTTCAGGTGCCACAGTAGCGACCAGCTCCTCGGAGGGGGCCCAAGGGCAACCTCACCTCCACCAACCGCTCCACAGCGCATCTGGACAGTGTGCACCACGGAGTCTCCCTCTGCAAGGGGGCCCTGGTGATTCAGTCAGCAAAGGTTTGCAAAGCAAGTGCCTTCCACCCACTGGGACCCGGTCCGGTAACGAGGTGCCCAAGGTAAGGGGGAGCCGGGTTGGGGTGGGGGGACACAAGCACAGCTTCCGCAGCCTGGGTCCCCGATGTGCCAAAAGGAAACCGTTATGACTTGGAAGCTGTTCCCGGCAAACGCAGCTACCGGAGCAGCTGCCTTGGGTCAGAGCACCGGGGCCCAGGACTCAAGCTGCCCAGAGCACCCCAGGGCAGCTGGGAACCCAGTGAGAACCCAGGGAAAGGACACCTCGGATACGGAGACCTCCAAGGACCAAAAATGCAGGACAAAGAAGCCAGCGAGGGTTCACGCGCCCCACGGTAAAGCACGCGCTCCTGAGCCACGGGCTTCGGCCACGATTGCACCTGCAGCTCCGACGGCCCAACTCCTGCCGGGCCCTGCCTTCCACAGGAGCCCCAGGACTCCAGAGGCTCGCTTTTTCCTGCAGCCTGAGGAATCCAACTGCACGGCCAACGCTGTGGCCCGCCTCCCCCAAGCAAGCTCGTCTGTCTGATTTTCCCTGGGAGGGGGCAGGGAGGCCAGCGTCCCCCTTGGTGTCTCCACAGGCCAGCGGGAAGGATCTGCTCAGGGGTCGAGGGCCGGACAGACACCTCCACTGGCCCCGGGGCCTGTCAGCTTGACCCCGCGTGCCGGGTGTAACCGGTCCTGCTCGGATTCCACAGGTCTTGAGTTCGGAGCCGACCGGGTTGGCCAGGAGAGGCCAAGGGTGATAGCTGGTCTGTGTCGGTGCCAGATCACACTCAGGTGCTCAGGGTCTCACCGCGTGGTCTCCGGAGACTGGCGAGGGGCGTCCCCAAACGTCTCTTGAGCTTCCACGCAGCGCTCCAGCCCTGACCCTCACCCATCGGCTGTCTGCATTCACAACCATTCAGCTCCGTGTTCCTGGTATTTGAGCGTCACCTCCGTGTGTATGTGGGAGGTCACTGCTCATCTCTCTGTTGTGCATCCTCACCCTACAGACAAGCAACTTCCATTTTACATAGGTGGTGCCCACGCGGGGCACCCCGTTCACCTGTGCTCACCAGAGACATTTATCCATACAGCGACCATGCGCCCAGCCCTACAAAGTATCACTTCCTTAGTTTGCAGCAGGTTGGGAGCAGGATGGGAGGGGCTGCTGAGCCACCACGGCCAAGCTGAAGATCCACTCACAGGGACCCACGGGCAGGGAGAGGGGCGCCCCAGCGCCAGCTCATCTGAGGAGCCTAGCTAGTGACGAGGGCATGGCCAGGGGCACAGTGGCCGGACGGCAGACCCTTTCTCCTTCACGTGAATCCATTGACGCAGGCCCCCTGCCTCGGAAAGGGTGCGTGGCAGGGTGGGGACAGTGGCCACAGTTGTCCACACCGGAGAAACTACTACAACCTGTGCAGCTCTGATGAGGGTCCTTTCTGCAGCATAAATCCACACGTCCGTTCACAGACACGCAAGTCTGATCATTTAAGCTACTTGAAATTGGTATTCATAAATTCAGGTCTACGAAACACTGTATTTTCATAAAATACAGTGGATAAAAGACCAGCAAAGAAGGCACCTGGGTTCCAGCTGCTTCCCCCTTCCCTCTACGCCCCTGGCCGCTCCCATCCTGCCTGTTCGTCCCTGACCCGGAACGACAGTCACCTGTGCCCCCTCTGCGGGCCCCGCAACTCTGTCCCCCCTGACTACCCAAGCTGCTGAGCGGGACTCCTGCTGTTGGGAGGACACAGAAGTGTCTCTAGGGCCACCGATGTGCAGGCCACCCGGGACCCTCTGGTTGGCAAAGTTTTCTCGTCCAAGGTCAGTAGTTCTGACACGTGCCGTTCCCCAGGCCTTCCCCACCACGGGAGTCTGTCTGCCTGGTTGGAGGGCAGTTTATCAACAGTAAGTGCTCTGGGTTGCTCTCACTCCATCTCCCAGGACATCTAGAAACCCATATTCCAGATGGAGAGGTGAGCGTATAAATTTCCAGGGACAGTCTGGAAGCTTCAAGAAAATGCCCTTGCCGGTCGCTGAAAGCACGGCCCGGCCCGAATCCATTCTGATGACTGCTGCCTCCTCACGGCCACGTCCACACCCTGCAGGCCATCTGCTGTCCGTCCCTCTGCGATGGGGTGATCCCAGAGAGCAACTCTGAGGGTGGGCTAGGGCACTGGCAGGCCTCCAGGAGAGGGGGAGAGGGGACAGGAGTAGGAGGCCACCGCGCTGGTGGGTGGCTCAGACCTCTCCTCTGAGCAGGGGAAGGAGCTACAACGCCCCTTCACCTGGGAGGGTGCTTGCTCCTGGTCCCAGGGCCATCACCCCCAGACCCATTCTGCTGCTTGGGTGAGCTCACTGCAGCCAGTCAGGCTGGAGCAAGCCCCTGGCAGCACTCAGCCAGAGAAACCCTGCCCTTCCTACCAGGCATGGCAGACAGGAATCTTTCCGGAAGCTGCTTTGGAGGGCAGGCGAGCCGCGTGCCAGTAACGGCGGGGAACCGGGCGCTCCCCTCCGCCCCTTGCCCGCCCTGGGGGACCTAGGTGGAGGGCGACTGCCAATCTCCCCGCCCGCTCCCAGGAATGAGACACAGTCCACCGGTCAACACCCAGCTGTTGTAGTGTAGCTCGGTTTTATTTATGTCCACAAATATTTCAAAAAAATTACAAAAGACTCAAAATGGAGAGAACACAGAAGTCACGATTTCTGGGTGTCTACTCTGTTTACACTGTGTTATCTCATGGCAAACTACTCATATATACATTTAGCTTCAAGATATATATAAACGTAGCAAATCAGAATGTACACTCTGCTCCTGCAGTGAAACAAAGCTCAATCTTGACAACATTCAACAAGATACGTACAAAACACAGAAAAGCAAAACCAAACTTCAAACAAAAGGAAGGAAAATCCAAAAGGAAACCAAGGGGTCGGGCTTCAAAGACACTGTGAAGGTCTGGGGCCTCCTAAACCAAGTGCAGCTGACCAGGTGAGGGTTTCGGGTTGCAGGTTTTTAAGTGGAAGAATCTCAGTGCTTCACCCTGGGATATGGGGAAAGAACCAAAACCGAACAAGAAAACGCCTGCAGACAGTTTTCAAGTAGAGACTTCCGAGTACTTCACTCCGTCTCTTCTTTGGAAAAACGGAGGACACAGAGAGGCGGCAAAGGTTTAACTGAATGGCGGGCACTGTGTGCCACCAAGAGGAAACCAAAGATGGCAGAGAAGGTGGGGGCGGCGGGGCAGGGGCTGCAGGAGAGCCGGCCCGCCCCCCGGAGGAAACAAGTGCCTCGTGCCCGTGCGGCCCCAAGTCTGATGACACAGGGTTCATCTGAGCTCGCCTCCCCTCTAAGGAGCTAAAGTTAAGGCAGAAATGGAATGAGAGAAAAATCAAAGGAGAGAACCACGAACATTCCCAACAGACAAAACAATCCTCTATCTGTCCCGACCGAAACCAGACGTAGTTTTAACAGAAACTGGAAATGGCCCTGATGCAGGCTTGAATCCGGAACCTGGATCTGAGCTCACACCTGCTGGCTTCTGGGTCCAAGCGCCAGCCTCTCTTCCTACCCTCGACTCGGCTCCAGCCCTAGACACGCCCCACATCCACCGACCCACACGTGCTCTTGTCATCCCACAGCTCTTGGATGTGACTCCCAGCCTGAGGGGAGAGGAACGGGGAAAGGTCACATCCTGACAGAACACTTCATCAACAGGCGCAGACACCCCCCACGCCCGGCCCCGCTCTGGAGAAAGTGCATCACGTCCACAACTAGGAAGGAGAGGCGGGCCCCCTGCAGAGCAGCCCGAGCCCTCAGAGGGGCAGCTCCCAGGCAGAAGGAAGCCATTCCGACCAGGAACGAGAGCAAGAGTGGGACTCAAACGGCGCCCCCACCCATAACCGTGCCAACTCCGGGCCTCCCTCAAGCAAAAGCGGCCTCAAGCCGTGCGGCAGGGGTGGCCTGGCCTCAGTGCAGGAAGATCCTAGTGATGACACACAACAGGGCAAGTTTCTAACAGATTCCTTTGGCAAGCGTGTGCTATTTGTAGGGAATCGTTTTCGTGTTGAATTTTCCAGAATGTTTATGAAATTGTCAGAGTATTTAAGAAGGCAGTCCATCCAGAACAGCCAAATGTGTGTGCATAGAAATGTATAAGGAAATCTACAGTCAGACACACAGAAACATGTGCTTTCTATCCCGTGGAGACAGAACAAGGTGGACACTTAACTCCGGCGCTCCTGGTACAAAATAAAAAAGGTTCGATCTAACAAATATCCGCACCTCTGGCGAAGCACAAGCTAGGAACAGACAGAAGTGAAAATCAAGGCAGCAAAACAAAGAAACGGTTTGTAACATCGTCCCTGCAAACCCCTGGATGCCCACTGCTGCGACCAAACCTCATCCCAAGCTCCTGCCCGTTTGTAATTAGTAACGCCCATCTGTTCCCTTTAATTAAAGGGATAATTATATATAACTTTTTATTAAAAAATCAACTCTGTATTCTGTCAACAGCTGGTAGGAATTCACAATTAGTGACATGGCTGGAAAAAATAGATCAGAATAGTTTGTGGAAGAAAAAAAATGCCGTTCTAAAATTATTTATTTACAGACGTAAAAAGCCATGCTGCAGAACTTTCTCAAATTATGAAGATTTCCTACAATGTATTAAAATAAAAGTTTTTTTAAAAATTATAGCTCTTGGATTCCAAACTCCTATGCCACCTATCTGCAGACCTCGTGGGCTCTGGGACACACGTGGCTGAGTGTGTCTGCACACACAGTGAAGGGTGTGAACTGGATTCTAGCACCTACCAAGAAATCAAGGAAGGAAAAGAAAACTAAAGCCAAACCCCAAGATTGCAGGGAAAGTTTTCTGAATGTTCAGTCCAGTCCAGGACTCACTAAGTTTCTGGGGGACTGTCATGCAGGGAGACCCAAACCAGTCTCAAGGTATTCTCTCTACAAACAAACACTATTATGCTGATAACATTTTTAGTTGTGGGGTTTTTAAATATATAAAGAAATCTTTAGAAGATATTCTTTTTGCTTCTGTAGCTCGTATTGTATGTAAAAAGTCCTGTTTCTCCCCCCAAGAATTGGGGTTTCCACAGCCAGCGTTAACAAATAAATAACTTATAACTGCTTGTCACCTTCTTTCTTCAGTCGACTAGAAAGGGAAAAAAGGGAGAAAGTATTCAGCACCAGGCCTGGGCAGGTGCGACCAGGCATGCAGCTCGAGGGTCCAGGTGACCAGAGTGGCCTCTCGTGCAGCCGACCTTCCCCTCGTCTCCCTCCCGTCAAGATGGCTCCTTGGGAGTCCCCTCCAG